TTCATTCATTTCCACTTTGTCCTCGCTCGGTTTATCGAAAAGCGCAACATTTTGACAAAATGCGAGCGTCAGAACATCGTAGGAACTTTATTTTAAAAATATTTTGAAAGAGGGGGTTTTAAGGTCTAAAAACCATTCAAAATAACTTTGGTTCAAAATGGGGTGTGAGGTTGGGATTTGACTCTCCTCTTGCCGAAGAAATCAAACTTTTGCTTTGCACATCTTTCACCATCAAGTAAACCATCGGTAGGGCCCAAGTCTGAAGGTCGGTAAAAAATAGGGTGTTTACATATACGTCCATGCTTCTATGGTTGGTTTTCTATCATTCATCTACGATCTCACTGTACTTGTATGCTCTCTGTGTGAGCAAAACTAGGCAAGCTTTCACCCACCAATCGACTCCTCGGTTAACCGGCCAGTAGACCACCCAAGGGTGCCCCAACCTCCTTTGTTTGCTTGCTTCTGCTGTTACTTCGATTATCTGTTTCCGAACAAGTAAGAAATTTTTGGTTACCTGTTCTCGAACAAATAAACAATGTTCAAGCAATCTCCTTTGAGCTAAGAATACCATCAAAACTATGAATCTCTTTTGAGTTTTTATTGGTGTACTCCTCTTGTCTTGTGGAGTTGTGATTGCTGGGAAAACCTTTTACTCATTGTCATTGTTGGAAAAATGTATATAATCAAATGGTTGCCACTATTGCCATTGAAATATTACCGCCAAACAGTGGGTAGGTTTTGAAGGTGAAATTTGGGAAAGATGGATGGATGGTGATGGAGGTGGGTGCTCTCATAAATCCTAACTCATGATATAGTGGGTGTGTGATTTAATTATGAGATATGGTGGCTCAAAATTATTGATATATTTTTTAGTAATTTTATTTAAAATTATTATTATCGTAAAAAAAATAAATAAATAAGAGATCCAAAATACTTGATAAAGTGCTAGAAATAACACTATAATTTAATTGCCCTCTCTAAAAATTCAAACAAACATGACGATAACAGAGTTTTTTTTTTCTTTCTTCATATCTAAAAAAAAATAAATAATAATTTAGTGAATTGACCCACTTTTTAAACAATTTGAGACACTAACTTGCTTTTTTAAATTACATTTTCAACGTACAATTTCAACTTGAAATTGTATGTTGAAAATATATCTTAGTGAAGTCCATATTATTATAAAATTAAATTTTCAATTTGTGATTTCAAGTTGAAATTGTATGTTAAAAATTCGATTTCAATTTAAAATTATATATTCAAAATATGATTTAAAAAAATAGGTTAATTTTTCAAATAATTAAAAAAATAGATCAATTTTCTAAATTATTATTTAAAAAAAAAAAAAACAACTCGAAGATACCATCCCTCGTATCCTTGATCTTTGCTACCTCCATCAATGTAAGACATTTTTCTCCTCTCCGTTTACTTGAACCCTCCCTCCACCATGATGGACCTCTTTCCTATTTCCTTAGCCTATTTATTGACTGTTAGGGGTAAGCAAGGCACATACTAATTCGTCTAAATTGGTCGAACCAAATCAATCTGTCATATTTTGGACAGATACATAATGATGAGCAGACAGTTACAGATTAATTTTTTTCAATCTGCCTAGTTTTGGACATATGACGGATTTGAGATTTATTTGGCCGCAATCGATTCGCCAAACTGCAAGCACCACTAGTAATTTGTAGGACTTTGTGTTTTCAATTTGTTTAGATATCATGTTTGTATTTTCAATTGCAAAAGAGTTTAAATATTTTGTTAAATATATTCTGTTGAAAAATAGTTTTCAACTTGAATATATTTTTTGAATTGAAAAAAATATATGTATTATTTATCTATATTTTTGGGTTTTTAAATCTAACTCTAAAAATAATAAATAAAAAAAGATGATATATGTTGGTTGGTTTTTATTTTTAAAAATAGATATAGATGTAACAATACATATACATACAATTTCTATTACTACTATGTTCATAATTTTAGTAGTTTGAATTATTTTTTATATTTTAAGAATCACATGTTGTAATACTTTATATAATACTTTATGTGGATGAGGCATGCTGTGATTGTAATATGTGAATGAGACATGCAGTGATTATAATATTCTAAAGTTTCAAACTTTCTTTCTTTGAATGAGGCATACAGTGATTGTAATACTTGTTTAAGTCATTGGTTGTAATACTTTTTTTGAGGAAATACACAAGTTGAATTATGTTAAAAATTTATAAAATTTTAAACCGCTAAACCGATTTGCATCCATCCACCAATCCGCTCAATCCACATTCGTCAAATTGGCGGACCGATGCGGATTGATTTTCTCCAATCTGCTAATTTAGTGGACTGATGGTGGATTGAAGGTTCCATGACCGCAATCGACCCACACCCACCCCTATCGACTGTGATACAGAGCTCTAGGTGTGAAGCTCTAAATTGAGCTCTACATACTTAGCAGCCGTAAAAATAAAAAGAAAAATGCTTGGGAGCACTAATTAGTGCTCCCACTAATTAGGTGGCAGTGGGTCCTGCCATTAATGATGTGATGTTTTGGTCTTGGAGTTGTATTTTTTTTTTTTTTTTTTACTTTTTTAATGCATTAGTGCTATTAGTGGTGATATTTTTAGTGGGATGAATCATTGTTGAAATAAAAAATAAAGAAAAAAAAACCAAAAAAAAAAAACAAATTGTAATGGATAAAAATGAAAAATTAGAACTCTTTTAAAACTCTTATTTAACAGTTCCAAAACATTTTTGGCCTCTCTATGTACCTCCACCAATTAACCTGTGACCAACCCCATCAATTTTATTTTATTTTTTTTTATCGCTGCCTTAACTACCATTGTATTTTGTGCTATTCACCTGTTTAGTTTTGAGTTTTTAAAAATAATTTTTAATTTTTTTAAATTTATATTTTAAATATTTTTTAATATTTTAATATTTTTCCTGATTTTTAAATTTATTTAATCTCAATATATTTAAAAAATAAGAAAAATATTAAAAATATTCATTGAATATAACAAAATACAAAAATATATTAAATTTTAATTTTAATTTTTTGTATTAGAAATGTTTGGAACCCCCTTTGGAGATGACCCCCACACCCCCAAATTGATCCTGACCCTCCATGTATATATGAGGTCCGCACATGTATGTGTGGGGTTTACATTATGAGTGGTCTGGTGAGGGTGAGATTCTCAATCATTAATTCTTTTTGTATTTGGTGAAATTTTTAAATTTTTTTGTCCACATATATTATACATTTTAAGCATATTTAAATTAAATATAAATAAAAAAATTTAAGTTGTGTTGGGTAGAGTTTTAGAATTATGACTTGAGAATAGAGTTGTATTTTGAATTTGTGAGTTTTGAAATTATGATTTGAAAAGAAAAAAATTATTTAGTTATGAGTTTTGAAAAGATTTTTAAATTAAGTTTTGAATTTTTGATGTGATATATAAATTGAGAAAATTTGTTTGTTATAAATTTTGAAAAGAGTTTTTAGAATTTGATTCAAAAAGATATAACTCATAACCAAACGCACAACTCAAAACTCTATTGCAAATTCTATTTAAAACTCATAACCAAACGCTTTTTAACATTCAATTCAAAAAAATAAGTTGTTATTTTGGTGTAAAAAAATAAATTCTATATTTAAAAAATATAAAAAACAAATATAATTTTTTTCCCCCAAATAACAGGTGGCGATTGGCAATTGCCAAAAAAAAAATAAAAAAATTACACTGTTCCGATCAACCGGCCGGATATCCGGAAGGATGACCGGGTAGACACAAAATTCAAATACTCCCTTACTTTTCAGAATGGAAAAGACAAAAGAGAGAAATATGCCAAACGTAATAGAGAAATATGTTTTGAAACGTGTGGTGAAATTATATTTTCAAAACTTTATTCAAATAAAGAGTGCAAATAGAGAAATGAAATTATGATTTGAGAGTTTTATTAAACATGGTCTTAATTTTCTATTCCCAAATTACTATCCCATCTCCGAAAACTCTACTGGTCGAGCCAACCATCTCCCTCTCCATAATTTTCTATACCCAAATTACTATCCCATCTCCGAAAACTCCATTGGTCTAGCCAACCATCTCCCTCACCATATTAGCTGCTACTCTATTTTTTTGAACTTAAAGACACCACTGTACTTCATCAAATTAACAACAAACTCACCAAATTAAGGTTATGTTTGACTTAAATTTTTTAGACTAAAATAGTCATAAAAATATAAAATATATTAAAAAATAAATAAAATAAAATGTCACATTTAAATTATAATTATTTTATTTTTTTTATAAAAATAAAAAAATAAAAAAATTCATTCTAATTTTTTAACTCAAACTAAAATAACTAAAAAATCAAAGCCAATTCACATTCAAAACGAAGGCTAATAACAAATTAGACGAGTTACATATTAAAGACAAAATAGGCTAAAATAGCTAATAAGACAAAATATCACATCAAACTCATAATCATTTCACTTTTTCTCTCACAAACATCACATCCAACCATAAAAAAATCCAATCATCTTCCCAAAACTCCTTTTACTAAAGTTTTTTAATTCTTTCAGGCCATACAACAATAGTAGACCAATTAATAAACGTGGATGACCAAACTACAATTTTACAAATTATAATATACTCCTTTTACTAAAGTTTTTTAATTCTTTCAGGCCATACAACAATAGTAGACCAATTACCAAAAGGGCCCTGCTGGAGACCCCAGCAGGGGAGACCCCCAGCAACCCCACCTCCACGTGTGGGGCTGGTAATGGCTGAAATCAAAAAAAAAAAAAACAACAGTTTTTGAGCCAATAGGAAGAGACCCCCAGTACCGGGGTCTCATGCATTTTCCTTACCAAAAAGTCACATTATTTATATTATATTCAACTGCACAATATCAAATTGCCAATATTTATATTCAAGTGCACAATATCAAATTGCCATGAAATACTATATAGTAGCAAATTAACATACTTTGAAAAAACAAACACAAAAAAAAGTATAGGCACAGAAGAGAGATATAGATATAGCAGCAGAAGAACATATCTATAAAATCGGAAATCCGATTCATTTTTTTTTTTTATTTTTAACAAAAGAAAAAAGTGACCGGAATCTGTCAGAAATCGCCGGAAATTTCGCTTTCGAGACCCTTTCATAAAATTTTTATTACACACCAAACCTCGCTCGAATAAATGTGGTATAGATCAGCCTCCTTCATTCTCGACAAACGACTCCAACACGACGCCGTTCCACCACCACCACCACCAACCCCTCACGAAACTCTTCTTCTCTCTCCTCCTCTCGATTCTTCAACAATGGCCGAAACCCTCCAAAACCCTAACCCTAACCCTAACAACATCTCTGCCTATTACCAGACTAGGGCGGCGCACCACGGCGTCGTCACCAGCGACTGGCTCACCCAGGCTCAGGCCGCCGTCGGCCGATTCCCCGACGAGGTTCCGACAGAAAATGCTTCGAGTGATTCTGGTAAGACGTTTAGTGTGATTGATGAGTTTGATAATTGGAGGAAACAGCCTGATTTGGCTGAGGCTGTGGCGGCCATTAGGGCTTTGGCGTCGGTGATTCGATCCAGTGAGGCTACTACTATGATGGAGCTCGAGATTGAACTCAAGAAGGCCTCTGATTCCCTCAAAGTATGTGATTTGATTTGTTTTTAATTCGTGTATCATGAAAAAGCAAGCATTTTTAATGTTTTTTATGAATTTTGTGGCTGCTTATTCAATACAAATTGTTAAATATTTCGATGTTAAGAGTTTATAGAATGAATTGAGAATTTCATTTAGGCAAAGGTTGCTCAAAGTTTCTTGATTGACTTGATTAATGTTCAGTTACAGGTGTTTCTAGGTGTTTTAGTGACTGTCAAAAATATCCAGCAAGTTCACTTGCTTGGGTATCATATACAAGATTAAAATACAATTTTTGATAACAACTAGATTAAAATACAATTATAATTACATTTGTTTTGATAAGTAGTCGAATAATTTAGGATGTCAAAATAAATGCCTTTGAAGATGCCTTTTCTGAAGATTCAACCTTTCAAAATACTTATCGCATGATAATTTGGCTGTGACAGAAGTGCAAATTTACCTTCAATCATACAGTTGGCCTTTAATTTGCTAACTTCATATCGTAGTAGTAAGGAGAGTTAGTTGACCCAATAGACTGGTGATAGAAAAAAATGATTTTTTGCAAGTGATTGCACTCATTATTTGGGTTTGTTAGAAAACATATTTGTTCGCAGAGATTGCCTGTGTATGGGATCGACTGCTTACATTAGCTTTTTCTTCATTATGGACTCATGATTTTTGTTGTTGAACTGTGAAAGATTGGGTAAATTACACTGTTCTACCCTGAGGTTTCTAACCCACTAGTTAATTGGGCAGTTTTGAGCTGGCTCTTCTCACCCACAACTCACATATACTCGGCCCAAACCCACCCATTTTCCGCCCATACATCTCACCATCTTCCCAAGTAGCTCAACCACCATCACACCATCCCATAAATTGACCCCACTTCAGATTATATTGGTGACCTGACATTCATAGCAAAAAATAGGGTCTATACTTGGTGTAATGTTTGATCAAATGAAGTTTGAATTGGAAGAAATGGCATCACTACAAGCCTCCATTGCTGCCGTAACACCTCTATGAACAAGAGCTTCAAGGAAGTGTTGGGTATGCAGTCCATGGTGGGGTGGCATGGTGGCGGTGAGTTTTGGGGTGTCACTGGTGATGGGGCAGTAATGGATGAGAAAGACAATGATTGTGTGATTTTGTGGGTGACAGTGATTGTGTGGGTTTGTGGGTGGCAATGCTTGTGTGTGTGTGTGAGTGTGAGAGAGAAATAACGAGAGTTGGTTGGTAAGTTTTGGGTCACCACCAGTGATGGTGGAGTAATAGAGGTAACTGCTACCATCAACAAAATTGTGTTAGTTGACGTAACAATTGACTCTAGGGGTTATCACGGACCCACCCAACCCGCTCAATCCGACCGAACTGACAAAATCCGATTGATTTTGGGCGAATGTGTGTCTTTCAGTAGATGGATATGGATGAAATATTTCAAAATTTGCGGATACGGTTCGGATGGCGGATCAACCATCCCACACCCGCATGAATTTGATCTACTCGTAGATGAAGGTAAAAAAAAAAAGAAAAAAAAGAAGAAGACACTGCTAACAAGTAACAATATAGGGTAGAAATAATAAAATATATATTTTTGTGAAAATGAAAAATAATATCTTAAAAATATGCATGTGTGGTGCCATGGCCTATTATAGACAAATAATACATATTTTTTCAGATTACTAATTATTGAAGATTGTAAAAGTTATAAATTATAATTCAAAAAATATCCAAAATTTGTAAAGTCCAAAGTGTCAAAGCGATTGCATCCATTCACTAACCCACATGGCCCGGCTCAATTTGTATTCGCCAAACCGGTGGACGGATGCGGATTGATTTCTTCCAATCCGCCTAATTTTGGACGGATGACGGATAGGATGCCACCTGAACCAACTCGATCTGCGATCACCCCTAATTGACTCACAGAGGAGGGAGGGAACTTTAATACAATTGGAAACCACAAGGGGGATATAATTTCCAAAAGTACAAGTTTACTAATGTCATAGTCAAAACCTCCTGGGAGGTCGGCGTAATTTATCTTAAAAGATTTGTCTCATATCAAAGAACTCAAATTTGTTTTTAAGGAAGTAGGAATGAAGTCCAAGACTAGTTTGGAAACATCGTACTAATATTTCTCATTTATTTATTTTGGTGAGAACTTCATGGTTAAAACTCAAATGTTACAAATTTACTGGCAGTCATGGAAATTCATCATTTGAGAACATGAAAGACTCAAAATGTAATAGCAGATATCAGTTTTACTGAGAGTACCAAAGAAGTTTTGCAAACTTTATATACCACATTTGCTGCTTTCTTCAATTGTTCATTTGGTAGGAGTCCATTACGCACTTATAGCTGCAATGTTAAGAGTAGGTTTGGATTTTTACTAAATTATCTTTGACTTTATAGGGTCTTAATTATGACTTGATATAGTAGAGCTACACTAGGGCATGTGTTAATGGTGGAGATGTATCTGGATATTAGATTCTTCTTAATTTCGGGGCATTGAGACATGGTTCAATAGCTGAAGTGAACAGGGTATGCTATTACTAATATTCCTTCCATGCATGATAATTAATTTGATGAAGTGATGCTATTTGGAGTTGCACTGGAAATTTAGTGTTTATACTAATTCAGTGAGCCGGTGTTGGAAACTTGATTATATTTTGGTAGAATGATGTAGTGTCAATAAATTCCAGAAGATAGAGGTACATGGATATGACTACGAACCTCCTCCTTTTCCTAGTCTTTTCAAAAGCATGAAGAACCCATACCATACATAATGTTGATGATGGACGGTTCCAAACATGTTACTGTTTAGAAATGTATAAAAAATAAAGACAAATTAAGAAAAAAAAAAAAATTGAGCCTTAGATTGTTGTTGAAGGTTTATCCAAAACAAAATATATGCTCAAAAGTATTGCATTGATTATGTGGGATGGCGGAGAAAAAAACATTGAAAAGGATTGTCAAGAATCCAGTCCCTCACATGAAGGGATGTCCACACTCGAGGATGAATTTTTCCAACTCAGTTTTAGATGCCAAAGCATATGGGGGTTGCTGGTAGGCCAAGCGGGCCCACTTGTTATGCTGATCAAAAAACAACAACAGGCCCACTGGTTACCCTTGGTTGGCTTGAACTTTCAAAGTTTGCCTGCATTTTCTTGCTTTTGTGATCTATCTTCTGCTGATGGGATTGTTCCTTGACAGAGGGTACATATACATGTCTTTTCCCTTGACTGATTGGGCAATTTTAAGCCCTGAAGCCAGCTGTGCTGTTTTATGTTGGCATCAGATTTCATTTAGTAATATGGATGTGGCATGAAATGTTTCATGGATATTCTAATACCTAAAATTGATTTCTCTCAGCTTGGTGTATATAACTAAAATTATTTAGTTAATCTATATCCAGATGTATACTGAAACTTCAATTGATTTGAAGCTGGAAAGAGTAGTGTAAAAATGTGTATTTCTTCTCTGCAATTTGACGTTATTTGACTAGTGTTGCCTTTAGTGCTACTAGCTATTATCTTGGGAGGTACCTCTTGCCACTGGTAAGGAAAGATGCAAGGTTCAAGACACATGATATTTGTAATGGACAAAGTGATTGGCATCAACTCATCACTTAGTTTAAGAATTTGAAAGTGAAATACAAGCTAATGTTTATAAAACCTGTGTTTATTCAGTCATGGGACACAACCTCCATCTCTTTGACTGCCGGCTGTGATCTTTTCATGCGCTATGTAACAAGAACTTCAGCTTTGGAATACGAGGACTTTAATTCAGCCAAGTCTCGCCTCATTGAACGTGCAGAGAAGTTTGGGGAGATATCTTATAAGGTATGCAAGCTAAAGGTAGATGTTGGACCGAACTTTTTCCTTAGCATACTGTTAATCAAGTTCTGATGTTGCAGGCACGGAAAATCATTGCAATGCTTAGCCAAGATTTTATTTTTGATGGATGTACCATTTTGGTGCATGGTTTCTCCCGAGTAGTGTTGGAAGTTCTGAAGGCAGCAGCAGAAAATAGGAAACTCTTTCGAGTTCTCTGTACAGGTTTGTTTTTGAATCACACTTTTGCTTGCATTTTCCCATTAGCCATTCATAAATTGTCTGCAATATCTCTAATTACAAATATTCGAAGTGAAAGCAAGCTTTATTAGACACTTCACTTTATGTCCTGTTGTATGATGGTCCCTTGCAATATCATTTATAGGTTGAAGGGAATGAGAAAAGTGTTTGTTGAAGACTGAAATTTGCACTATGTCCTCCATGAATTTTCATATTGATGGAAGGTTTAATTGACTGCAAGGTTTTATACCCATAATTAGGGTATTGGGAACTCATTATTTTTACAGTCAAATCACTTTTTAACACAGCCACCTATCCACACATGCAGACTTACATCTATACACTTTTGCTTACAATTCAGTTCGGATTCGAAAAGTTGATTATCATATACTCTGTTCTTTTTTTGTTCTTTTTCCCTTAATCTTACCTCCATGATTATATGCTAAAAAAATGCAGAGGGAAGGCCGGACAGAACAGGCTTGAGGCTGGCCAACGAGCTAGCCAAGCTTGATGTTCCTGTGAAACTCTTAATAGACTCTGCAGTGGCGTATAGTATGGATGAAATTGACATGGTATTTGTTGGGGCAGACGGAGTAGTTGAAAGTGGAGGTATAATTAATATGATGGGAACTTATCAAATCGCTTTGGTGGCTCATAGCATGAACAAACCGGTTTACGTAGCTGCTGAAAGCTACAAGGTATGTAAACTTATTTTTGGACTAATAAAAACGATAGGAAAAAATCAAACTCAGTTTATTTTCATTGAACTACTCTTCATAAAATGATATTGGGTCTTTGCAGTTTGCTCGTTTATATCCACTGGACCAAAAAGACATGGCACCTGCATTGCGACCAATTGATTTTGGGGTACCCATACCATCCAAGGTCGAAGTTGAAACATCTGCCCGGGATTATACACCTCCTCAATTTCTTACCCTACTTTTTACAGATCTGGGCGTTCTTACACCATCTGTTGTCAGTGATGAGCTCATTCAACTGTACTTATAGGCATGGTTGTTGAAATTATAATTGAAGTGGGCTAGGTTTTCATTTTTGATTGCAAAGAAGACACATTGTTCCTTTTGTGTAATAATTAAAATGCAACTTGGGCTAATTTTTGAGATATTGTACGGTGTATGTTTTTTCCTGAGATTTGCACGAGTACATGACAACTACTTTATTGTGGTCTATAGAATTTTATAGCGGGTTGAGATTGGTTAGCCTCTTGATGTATTTTACCTGCAATGCAGCGCCATTTCTGCTAGCCCTTGGATAGGGAGTGTGCAAAAACCCTGCCTACTCACTCAACCCACCAACATTGACTGTTGGCGTGTCTGGTTGGGCATGGTTACACACTAAATTTATGCGAGTTGAGTTGTGTATGATTTAAAATTTTAAGCTTGTCCATATAATTGACTCAACCCACTAGTAATTATAAATAAATTCAATACCTCAGCTCTAAAAAGATGTTTCTATTTTTTGACCTCTCTCTTTCTCTCGCCCGTGCCCCTTCATTGCCGCCACCTAAACACACAATTATATTATCAACTATTTCTTTTATTTTGATATTTCAGCTTCACGATTACAGTATCAGATCCATGACTTTGGAATGTGTTTTTACAATGTTTTGCCATCCGCTGATTTGAAACTGCCAAAATACTCAAACTAATCTGCCGGTTTTGGAACCATTGGGGTTGGTGCTAGGTTAATGAATTGTCGACCCATTGAAGGCATTTTGATTAAGGGTTGGTTTGGGATGTGAGTTAATTTTTTTGACTTTTTAGCTATTTTAGTTTGAGATTAAAAAGTTTCGTTTGGATAAATTTTTTGATTTTTTTGACTTTTGTGAGAGAAAAATGAAATAATTGTGGTTAGAATATGACATTTTGTCTTATTGAGTTAAAAAACTTATTTGGTTTTTTTATGATTATTTTAGCCAAAAACCCTCATTAGATTGTTTCTTTCAAATAGCCCAAACTGGCCCCACACACTCCAGCATGAGAATTTACATTGTACTTTTTTCAAGATATTTCAAAATTCTGTTCCTTCCAACCTGGAAAAGCAAACTTCAAATCGGGATAAACATAGGTGTCCATCTCAACATAATACTGCAGAGAACAGCCAGGCAAAGTATAAGATTCTTGGAAGCAGATGCCCCTAGAGCAGACTGAATAAGATTGGGAGCAAATACATGAAATAGCCAAAGAATGCATTGTTAGAGATTCTCAGAAGCTGATGCTCAGACAGAGCAAAGATTAATAAGTTGAGACAGGTAATTTTTAGAAAATTGTTTGGTTCTTTTTCTATTTGTTGTTCTTGACATTAGAAAAAACAGATACTGATATACAAAAAATTTATTTGGCAAACTGTTTCTAATTTTTATTTTTTTATTTTTTATGAAAGTTTTATGAAAACCCGCATTATTTTTAATGAAAAGATAATCATCATAACCTTATTATTGTTAATTTTCCCGCTTTTCCTTCTAATGTTGATGGGAATTATGTGGCAATTTTCTTATTAAGTTGGGGAAAATTATAGGGTGTCGGTAGGATATTATGTGGCAATTCCATTTATTAATTACAAATGACTATTTTCTATGTTGGCTTATTTTGGAAATTAGGTTAAAAAAGTTAGTTTTTTGACTTTTTTTTAAAAAAAATATGTAAAAAAATATAAAAAATAATATAATCAAAAAAAAAAAAAAAAAAACTAAAAAACCAAAAAAGCTAGCACTCTCTAAAAATGCAATAATTGCTCTTAACTCAGGTTTAGACTTGCGGGCAGAATTGTATTCTATGGATTCGAATTCTCCCCATTATATAGTCAATGGTTGTGGACCATGGGCTCTTGTCTTGTTGGGTTTCACTCTTAGAAGTGGAATGAATGGGTAAATTTTTTTTATAAGGTATATATATGAGTGTGAGTTTTAATTTTCTTGAGACACTAATCTAACAACTAATTGCCTATAAAAAAAAATGTATTATCAATAGTTGTGGAAGAGCCACCTAACTTATATTTATTTCAAATTGAAGAATAACTATGTAAGAATTCAAAATTCAAAATAAATTAAGCCTTTAGTCCTTATATTTCACATATTATGTTATTTTGCCCCTATAATTTCAACCTACTTGATTTTACTCAATTTAAAATTTTGTTTCAATTTATTTCAATTAAAAATGGGAAGTAATGAGTGGCAAGATTAGATAAGACAGAATTAGAAATGAGTGTATTCGGAAATAGGTAGGAGTAGCACCGATAGAAGATAAGTTGAGAGAGAATTGATTGAGATGGTTTGGTCATATTCAACGGAAACCAACAGAGGCAATAGTGAAGAGATGCGATACTGTAACGGTAGATGCAAGTGTTAGGGAACGGGGTAGGCCTAGATTAACGTTGGTTAGCGTTATAAATAGATATATGGATCTACTTAATTTGACTAACGAAATAACTTTTAATAGGGCCGTGTGAAGAAAAAGGATTCATGTAGCCGACCCCATTTGATGAGACTTAAGACTTGGTTTGATTTGGTTTAAAAATGAATAGTAACTTTTTTGACAAAAATCGTACGTATGCTACACACATGGCTATTTTTTGTCTCTACCATCGTCTCTCTTGTCGATCATTCTCTTCCCTCTTCCACCCCGTTTAGAACCAGCCTCTTACTCTCCTCCCCAACCTCCTTTGGTTACATCCTCCCCCTCTCTATATACATTAGTTTTGAGTGAGTTGTTGGATGGGTTAAATGCAAAAAAAAAAACCATTTTTTTCTCCAAAATATAACTTGTGTCATCCACATGCATTTTTTGGGGTAAATTGTCGTTTTCTGTTCAATTAAAATTGAAACAAAATCCAAAATTAAGAGATAAAATTAAACAAATTAAAATTATAAAAATGAAAACAAAGAGTAAAATATAAAGACTATTTGTCGTAATTGTCCTAATAATTATTGATCATTAATTTTTAATTTTAAAGCCATGTCATAACCTTATAACTTTATAAATTGCTATGTCATAACCTTAAAACCTTTTTAATGTCATAACCTTATTAATTCAAGAATTCTTTTGACCATAACTTTTCCTATTATTACATCAATTACTCAACCAAACTAACAAAGATAAGAAAAGAGAAAAGATTAAAAACTAAAGAAAAGAAAACATGGTTAAAAATTTTGATGGGCAGAACTTTAAGAATAATTTCAACACATAAAGTAAACAAGAAAGACAATAAGCTCTTGAGATATTGATAACAAAGGCATTTAGGGGCTCAAAGTATTCATTTTCTTCATTAAAAGTGGTCATATCCCAGAACCCATTAACATTAACATAACCCTAATTAAAATGCATCATGGATTTTCTATTAGAGTATGGTTGCATCTACACGAATCAGAATCAGAATAACCATCATCATGAGAACCACAACCACACATTAAAAAAAAAAAAAAATTCTATTTCTTTCTGGGGAGGAGCTTCTCTCTGAGCTCGGCAACATCAACTTCATCAAAGTGAGTCTCTTGGAACCATTACCGCTCTTCGGATCTTCTCACCCAAAACCACTTCCTTTTCCCTTGCTGCCGGAGCTTCTCTGCTCGAATATTCCACTGCCGCCTTCCTCACCACTGCCCTCTGCACTCCCACCACACTCTCCGCTGCAACAGTGTACGCTCTCCTGCTGCAAAATCATATAAAACCATAGTAACTTTTACAATATCGAAGAGAGAAGGAGAATATTATATTAAATGTTATAACAATGTAATATAATAAGTATGGTAATGAATATAATATAGTATGTATGATAGATAGAATATAAACTCAAGTAGATATACCAACTTGAGTTTAGAGAGAGAAACTAAAACATGAAATAAAACTAAAAATAAAATAAAATATGGATAGATCCGAGGCAAATAGATTGCAAAGTTCAGATGAGAGCACAAGAGCGTTTGAGATAGATCAGAGGTCGGAGCTAATGCTGGGAGTTGGACCATTGTAGAAATAGGGCCGGAGCTAACAAAGTTAATGTTGAGAGACAATTTATAGTCAAGTCAGACCTTTGTAGGAATGGGTATTGAATCAATAAACATGGCACACACAAAACTTATGACGTGATACTAAACGATGATAGCAACAGCTACATCATGCGTGCCAGAAGATGGCTTAGAGAGTGCGCCAATGAAGGCAGCTAAGGGAGTGTGTCAAGGGAGGTGACATTAACAAACAACCCAAAACTATAATAGCAACCAAAAAAAAAAAGCATGGGTGCATGACTGTGCATGTGATCTAGATTTTTACCCTCAAAACAAAAAAATGGGGGCTAACCTGAGAAGGAGAAAGGTGTTAACAGGAACCTTGGCCATAGTGTAGAGATAGGGATAGAGATAGATGTTTAGGGTTTTGAACGTGAAGAGAGTTTGCATATAGAATGTCTTTTTATAGAGGCATACCTTGGGAAACTTGGTGACTACTCCTTGCTATGAAAGGATAAGGAAAAGACTATGGCATGCTCTTCAAAGTATGCATCTTATAACTAAAAAATAAAATAAAATAATTTTATACTTTTTGAGTGATAATTAAAAAAAAGAATCATAACTAAATATTACATGAGGTATAATCAAAAATCTTATGAGTTGTAACTAAAATAATGTCATAATTAAAGAAAAAAAATTAGTCATAACTAAAAAATAACATAATTAAGAGTGAATATGATATACTCCTTTCATGGGATGTACATAATAAAATTTTCCAAAAGGATATATACATTTAGTTTTTTTATTTTTTTTTTAACCATATGATTTTTTTAAGCGTTTATTTATTTATATTTTTAGGCATATGGGGTATCTTAAAAAGTATTTCTAGTTATATTATATTAAATTTAAAAAATCATTCTTATTATTGGGTATCAAATACAGTGCATAGCACCAAAAATAATAATAAATGAATAAATAAAATTTTTGTTTATGCTAGAACTGAAGTCCAGCATCTTGTATCCACCGAGACGATCAATATTATCTATAGTACGAGAAAACGAATTTTCTTATCTATGACTACTTGTTGAAGGATTATGTATTTAGGATTTGTGTGTGTATGTGTGTGTGGCTAAAGGGTACAGTTGAGTCTATTTTGATAATTTGAACCGTTCAACTTATATGATTTATGGAGCAAATCATTCATGTATAAAATCAAATTAATCGAATATTGATAATCACATGATTAAAACATATTTGTTT